TAACAGTCAAAAGGTATTAAAAATCCTTTTCTATTGTGATATCGCCGCTGCTTTTATGGCGCTAATGCCATAATTCGTTTGTATAGTTACCTGAATAAATAAATAATTGCTTGCGTCATTAGTGATACTTGTAACTTAATCTCATGAGTACTTTGAAAAGAAAAAAAAATTAAATATTTAGTGTAAATTATTTTCATATTTATGTGCAAAGATCGCTAATCAAACACATATAATGAATAGAATTTTAATTAAAAATTAGTAACAGTTCAAGTATTACGTAAGCAGATTTATTACAAATTATTCCCCCCCCCCCATCCCCCTTGTCAGCAAAAGTAAGCAAAGCTCTTACTCCCTACCCCCATGCTTACGTGTATTGTTTTTTTAAATATTGTAATTATTAGGTTATAATTATTATTTTAAAAATAAGAAAATAGGTTTAGGATGTAGAGATTTTACTGATATGGTATTCATTTATCTATATATCATTTATCTTTTCCCCAGGCGTCGTCCCAGACGTGCAGTATCTGTGCCCCGCGAATTAGACCCGGCGCGCATAGCTGATGAAGCCTTACGTCTCCACCGGTTGGCAACTTCTCTTCTCCAAACAGGAGCTCCTTGGCTAACAGCGGGAGCCAGCATGACCCACACGATTCTTGTCAGATCGACCTCTTTCGGCAGATGACAGACAAATTTTATCAGATGATCATCGACAATTGACAACGGCTGACGATAGAAGGTTACCGGCTATATGTTGTGGAACGTCGACTCCGGAGCGAAGACAGAGCAGCTCTTCATCAGCATCGTCGATAGGGTCGTCTGTAACAGGTTGGTTCGTATTGGATCGCGATAATCCTCTTATTTTCTATTTTATTCGTGATAGTTTTTAAGTTCTGTTCTTATATAAGTATTGTTTAAGGTTTGTTACTATTTAATTTATTCAAACCACCAACACATGTCTCATTTAAATATGACAAATTAGTACATTTTTGTGTTAAACCAAATATAGCAGTAGGAAATAATCTAATTTTATATATTTTACAGCTCACCCAACGTCCAACAGCAGTTTATCGAGCGCATTCACCCGCGTGGGCAGCTTACAGAAATCGCGCCTTTCCTCATCCGATGATTCCAATTCGACGACCTCCAAGGATGGTGATTGTCGTTTGGTCAGGTTAGTCAGACACGGCGATTATAAACTAATTTATGATAATTATTTACTATACCTCCTACCTTAATGTTTAACCACCTAGATTACGGGCGCGGGTTTTGTAATCAAAGCAAATGATGCTATGGGAAACAATGTTACAATAATTGCTTGTTTGCAGTGTTGATATACTGAGACATTTTCAAGCGTACATGGATATTATCAACTATTTGTTTCTCGAAAGATTTTGAAACTTATAATTTTAATATTGTTGTTTGATATTAATAGTAGTAAGCTTTACTAAATAAATATTTAAGCATATTTCAAGATGTACGTGATCAATTCAAACAACGACATTTAATCTTCTGTTAACAGAGCTTCAATCCATATCCCTGCCAGTAAAAAGGACTTCGTCCGTCGCCTGGGTTCTGGTATTCCTTTAGGCAGTGGAAAGCTCATCCGCGGTTGCAGTCCGAGTGTTGGCGTGAGTAATGCAACGAATAATATGGAAGCATCATCCTCATCAAGTTCTACTGAAAATGAAAGTGGTTTTTCATCTATGAACTCATTTCACGAAATCGGATTGCCGCTCGTGAATTCCACTGCCGTATTAAATTCTTCGTCTCTTTCATCGTCCTCCGATGAATCAAGGACGATAGTGCACCGCGACGATACGTTGAAGAGGAAATCTATGAATTTCGATAAAAGACTGAGTTTGGACCAACGATCGATAAATCAGCTCGAGAAGGGTAGTTCGTTTCCATTAGATAAGAGCGGCGATGATGATTCAAGTATAGAGCAAAGAACAAGTTTCGAACGTGCTTCGACTATCGATCGTAGATCAACGAGCTTTGATAGATCATCAACTGTAGATAGAAGACTAAGTTTCGATCAGTATTCTGCCAATGGCAGAGATTCAATTTCCAACCGCCGGTCTAGTTATTTCGAAAGAACGTTAGATTCTTCCAACTCAAGTCCTGAAAAAACTCCCAAAAGAACTTCAGTTAACGACCACCAAAGGTGGAACTCCTCGACGTCAGGAAATACAATTCTATATGATAAGACAAATGAACGCATCACATTGAAATCGGACGATATTCGAGTACTCTGGGTTTGATTGAGATGAAAAATCTAATGTGTGCCACTGTGCACTTTGGTGATTTATACATATGCATGATTTATGTATATGTTAAAATACACTGTACTCAATGCAATATTATTTAATAGCCATGTTCTTAGCATTTTTATTTATTGCAGGACTTTTTAGAAGAAAATAGCCCACATGATCATATTTCCATTTCTTGGCATTGTAAATTATTTCATGAAATACTTATTTAATATTTATTCCTATTAATACTTATCATTTCACGATAGTGAAAATTTACAATGTTTTTGGCATAATACAATTGGCCTTGAGATGTTTCAAGTTTGGAGATATCATATTTTATTTTATGTAAAAACCAAAAGTTTCTGGATATTATTTTTGAATATTATCAAAATCTTGAAAGAACTGCCTTTGACTTCTGCATAAAATAAAAATTTAGTATGTAATATCAATATCAAAGTGTGAGTGTTCTGCTATTTGAATAAACTGTGTTATCCCTAAAAAATTCGGCGTGAATGCTGCAATATTAAGTGATTTTATATGAAAATTATAATAACGTAAAAATATATTGCAACCAAAAATATTTATGCCCTCTGTAAAGTACTTTTTTATAGTTTATAAATAAAATAATTATTATATAATTACGACGTAAGTGTTTAATTTACTGCATACTGACCATATTTCAGATTTTAAATAACTGTTTTTTCAAGACCAAATGACCAAATTAAGCAAAGTGCTTTTGTTTTTAATTCAATGATTGTGTAGGTAGTTTACAATTAGAAGAAGCATTAATCATTCACAATGAAAGTTATTTATATTGTGCATATATTTGTGATTTGTTTTTTAAATGCAGATATTGGTGAGTTTAAAAAAAGTGAATTTGCACTGCTGTAGTGTTATATTAGAAAAATCATCGAGCTTTTAATCGCTTTTAATCGCCAGAAAACACAAGCAATCAAATCTACATTGTCAAGTGTTATAATTTGTTCCATTCATTTGTTTTTTTTTTAACAAATGTACTGCTCACATCGTATTCGTATAAAAATATAAGTAATTGGTAATATGTATAATAATTTTATTGGTAATAAAACAGTTTTATTATTCAGTGTTTGGAGCAAATTGCTACTCATGCAGAAACGATATCACGTCAATATTGATTCGTTCACCTAACTATTGCGATTTTGCGGAATATCAGCATAAAATAGTTTGGGCCCCAAGATGCTTCGAAGTGCGGGGGCAAAGCAAGTAATTCGATACCGATGTATTGTACACTTCAAAATAATTATATTTGATATATGTTTTTTTAGGAGATGAGTTCCACTTGATCAATCGTTATGGTGGCACTAAAGAAGAATCGTGCACAGATATTCGTCGAAAATTAGCATATGAAGGATACTATGTCTATTATTGTTTGTCCTGTTCGTCTGATTATTGCAATGGTGGATCTAGACATTATCTTGAACTACTGGATTTTAATAAAAAATGGAACGAAAACTAATTTAAATATTATTCTAATGTATAATAAGAAACAAAATAGTACCTACCGATAATATGTCTATTTGCATGCGTTTTCAATCATTTAAACAACTGACAATTAGTTAAAACGAACTTATCAAATATTTTATAATAATTGAATATTTAGCTTATTATAAAAATGAAAATAATACATGGGGCGGGTGTATTATTTCTGATTTACATACTTCAAATTTCCTGTGGTAAGTTTAACGATTTTTTTTAAATGCTGTGAGGAAATATATAATAAATGGTGGGTTTTATTATTTTTATTTCCAAGTCAAAGGCGAGGTGTTATGCTATGCGTGCAGAAATGATTATCCTGATTCACTTTCAATAACTAGGCCTAGTTTTTGCGAAAAGGATATGCCTCTGGAATCAATTGAATCGGGTGAAAGATGCTTCGAAGTTCGAGCAGAAAGTGAGTAAAACTAGTTAAACAATTCAATTCAAAATATGTACTTTAATAAATGAAGTCAAGAATTTATCTAAAATGTTATTAAAACTATGTAAGAACTCCCAAATATTTATCAGGGGATGAATTTCATTTTATCCATCGTTATACTGAATCTGCAACAGAAACATGTGACAATATCAGAAAAAATTTAGCTTTCCAAGGATTTTACGTATATTATTGCTTATGTTGTGACTCTGATTATTGCAATGGTGGTTTCAAACACTCTGATGAAATACACAAGCCTGGACCACAACATAGAAGGCGTCTTAAGAAAACATCTAAAACTATCAGGTAAAAGGCTCAAAAATTTATACTGAGATTTTATAGAGTTAATTTGATGAAATGAACTTTTTGGTGATTAAAGAAATAAGTTATAATAAAGTAATTTAAATCTATTTTTTGATGTAACAAAATGAAATTTTTAATATTATTATAGGTGAAATATATTTTTGATTTGGTTTTGATTTAAATAATTTCGGTTCGAGTTCAAGCAAAAATAACAGTGATCGGATTGATTTTAGTTGAATGATCAAGAAATATGCTTCAGAAGCTTTTTATTAACATGATTGCATTTTGTTTCCAAACAAGCCAGTGTACAATATTTACTTTGACAGTTATGGCGTTTATATATGTGGTAATCGGAATCATGATATTGTTTCAGATAGAACATACTCTACAAGCTGTTGATGAAGATTTCGAAATTGTTCCAGATTTCGTAGAATTATTTGTACGTGCAACTCTAACAAATATTTAAAAAAGGCATTTCATATAATCATTATTAAAACGTGTGATTTCTTTAAAATCTTTTATTTTAATGAAGCAGAGAAAAATCTTAAATACTAGATACTGATTAAATTCATTAGGAATCTTCTGTTTTAGAATGACTACGGGAAAATATCCGACCCATTATATTATTGCTACCATTGCAAGGTATCTACCCAGAAAAAAACTCGTGGAAGCACTTGCCACGTGCCAATATACATCAACACAAACACTATAGGTTGTCATAGAACATCCCAATGTATCAAAGTCATCCTTGAAAGTAATAAATATTTTTCTTGCATTTATTTTAATTTATTCAGTTTGGTGGAATAAATATAATTTCTTTTTAGAACCAAATAATTACACTATATATAGAACCTGCATTCCTGGTGATATAACTTGTGCACATTGGAGGAAAGATTTGTACACAGAAGGTTCCAATTTTACTTGTAGCACATGTAAAGGCATTTTATGTAATCAGGCAATGTCCTTCGGCACTTATAATGGAATTGTCACTTCTTTAGCAATATTGTTTACTTCATTTGCGTAATTCAATTATTTATTATTTATTATTAAAAATTGTTTAATAAAATGATCAATATTGACTTTTATTATATGATTTTTAATGTGTATTTAACTAGGTATGAATTTTTGTTAATTTTAGCTTGAAAATTAATTTATTACTATTAAATTATTTTATTTTGGTATATTGGCGTAATAAATTAGTTCTATCACTTTCTGGAATTGTTTAAAGAATGCGTAAAAACAAAATTGCTAATTACATTGATAGCTTTTTTAATTGCCTTATTTGACAAATCTTGAATAAATGAAAATTGTTTTTGTCGGACATTTGTTTTCTGATTAGGCATATTTAAATTTACCATAAACAAGTAAGAGTGTACGTTTCATGAAAGTTGACAAGAAACAGCAAAAAATATTCCTGGCAAGAAAATTTGTCAAAAAAACTAAATGTTAAAACGACTGTTTATTTGGGATTGTAATGCAATACGATTTGCATTCACAAAATTGCTTCCGTATTTAAATGACATTACACATTATCAAATTTAATGTGTACCCGAATCAGTCTAGATTTTTCGCGCGATCGAGTTAGTTTTGAAATCAAAACAGTGCGATTGTTTTTGAATACATTCGAAATGTGAAACTATGGTAAATGTGTTTTTACTTCTATCCAAGATTAATATATTAATCATATTATTGAGACTTGTAATGACCGCTGAGGGACAGGTAAGTGTGATGCCTCTACGGGCCAAATGTCTATTACCTGTCACATTAATAATTTGACAATTCAATTTGCAGTCGTTCCCATATCGTTTGTGTTATCGTTGTGCAACAACGTCAGAATATGACATCGTTTCCGAGTGCTCTAGCCCGACCACGAGGCATTTGTTGGCCTGCAGTCGAGACGCCTCTTGTATATCTGTCAAAGTGGTCAGTGAGTACCTATTTTTACCTTTATTGATGTACATGTATTCAGATTAATTGTAAGACATAGAATTTGGCTTTAGGCTATGCTAATGACTAATTGATTAGTGCATTTATTGTTATATGTGTGCCAAAATGTTTATGTTGATGTCTGTGACAAACTGGGAAGAGCATGCCACACATTCCTTCACTTTTGTAATAACTTGTATTTTAGAATTACTCAACTGGTTCACATAATATGTTCTTATGAGATTCTCATTATAACAAAACAAAACTAGGTGTAAGTGGCATTTGGCCTTAAGGCAAGTTGAAGTACTCGATATGTGTAAATAATTCAACTACAAGAACGTTAGAGCGCGGCCCATTAGTCCAAACTTTGACGGTTTTTTATAATTAAACCACTTTGTTTACTGTAATATTTTAGGATGCTCATTGAGACAATGAACTTTATCCTCATATAAATTTTCATTGAAGAAACAGCTCACCCAATCTTTAGCAAAAACTAATCAGCACAATTTCCAACTAATATCTTTCGAACAATTTTTAAATTTGCATGAAATTTATGCCTTTTTTGCTAATCTTAATTAAACGGCTTGGCCGGTCATCTCCCAAAACTAAACAACACGAGTCTTTGTCGAGTTTCATCAAATGACTTAAATTATTGAAGACAGTGCATTTGTTTTCAAAAAAGGAGTCAAAGAAGTGAAAAATTTTGATTGCACATACGCACACACAAATATTGTTTTCAATTTTCTTGTCAAACGATTTAGAATGACTTGGAACATCGAGGAAACATAAAATTTCCAAATTGAATTTTTTGGCGGAAACATTAAATTCTTCTTCGGGAAGTTAATGTTCATTAGACTTCCTGCTAATAATAATATTGTACACCTGCTAATTATATATTGTATGTATGTAATTATACATCAATAATTATATCTCTTATTTACATCATGTTTTCAATTTTTAGATCTAAAGTGACTATTTTAGAGCTCATC